TTAAGATCAGGAGACTGAGCAAATCAATCTATTAATTTAATCCCATGATGATCAAACCACTTCCATGCTAATTTTTAGTTATGCTTGGAGACGTTATCTTACTGAAAAATCACCTCTTCTTCACAAATGTTAGATTCTTCAATGCTAGAGAGCAAGTTTTTTTTCAAGAATTTTCACAAATTGCTTAGCATCCATCCTCCCTTCAACCTCTGCCATCCTCTCAACCCCATTCTATTCCATACAATTCCATACCATTCAATAAGCATCTTCCAATCCTCTATAGTCTATACCTTGTACTTCAGAACAAAATCCAAGCATTGTTTCCAATTGGGGGTAGATAGTAGTAGCTTTTTCTTCTTCACCATGGCTTTTATATTCCATTTCTTGAAAACATTTCAAATGATTTGAATTGACACAAGATTACTGATAATATTGTTAAGGTTTTTAGCAACCTCAACAATATTTTCAACCTTTTTAGTATTAATTTGGCAAATGATTGTCCTTTCATCTATTATAGTAAATTTCTTTGGTCTGACTAATTTAAGATTTTTTCTATTAAAAGTAATTTTTTTTGCTAGCCTAGAGATAATAGCTTTACTGAAGCCAAATTCAAAAGTAATTTGGCCATAAGATTTTTGAGAATGAAGAAGAGTAGAGATGATGTTGTCTAGGAGAGAGCGGGGAATAGGTCTCATAGTTATTCAAAGAATTATCAAGGATACAAGAATCTCACAAAGAAATATGTCAAGATTAGAGACAAAGAATGAAATTGATAGTAAAAGTGATTCTAAAGATTCCTATTTATATTATAATGAAGGTTACAAAAGTCTATGGTACTTTCTATAGAAATTTTTAGAAGTCTAAAGAAGCTTCTAAAAGTCTAAAAAAGCTTTTAAAAGCCTATAGAACTTTCTAAAAGATTGTGAAAGATTCTACAAGTATCTAGAAGGTTCTAAAAATTTATAGAAGATTCTAGAAGGTCCTAGAATGTAGTAATTTGGAATATGTCCATGCTAAGAATTATATTTAAGAATAATACTTTTATAGCTACTAATAAGTATTGATGATGTCATTAGATTAGTAATAATATTATCATAGTAAATTTGATGATGATAGAATGGTGTAATATTGAGTAATTGATAGAATCCAAAAATTAGACACTACACACAAAAAATCGCTTTAATACTACTCCAAATTAAATTGGTCATAGTTCCTCAATTACTTAATGGATTCTTTTCAACCTAGGCTCATTTGGTAGTTACAAAGAAATATTTTATTTGTTGTATAAACCACGTATCATTATTCACTACAATTTATCCCTAATACACCATTCTTTCTAAAAATATATCAATATTGAAATAGCTTTTTGAGTCACTGTATATACACCTAGTCCAAATTCATATTCAATGCTTTGTATGTACGATAAAGTGATAGCAAATGCAAAATTATAAGAATAAAATTTCTTTTTAAACTCATTGTTCTCTTATGCATGTATATAAGCAACTAAATCTAAAGGCATAATGAATAAGAGAAGAGAAACTTTGCCTCATCCACAACATTTATTCCACATGGACTTAATTTATAACTTAATAGTTTTCTTTGCCAATTAAAAAAATATCCTACAATATTTACATATTTGATTCATTCTTCTCACATTTTAGAGATTGACTTAGAAATTTGCTAGATATTATTTAATATCATATAATGCTTTTAATAATAATAATATATTAATACAATCCTTTACATCAGCCTCTAAACAAAGTGCATGCTTTTTCATTGATTTTGTTGCTCATATCACTCCCAACCTTTGTTCTTGCTTTAATTCATCCTTTCATTGACATGTTTGATTCATTCTTCTCACATTTTGATAATTGACTTAAGAATCCACTAGAAGATACATGATATCATGTAATGCTTTTGATAGTAACGTATTTATACAATTTTTTGCATTAGCTTCTTAGTACATTATAAGCCTCTTTATTATTGCTATTACTATTATTGCTAGCTTTAAATCTTACTCAAGTTCTTCCTCCCTTGCATGGCGCACTTTTGTAAGTTTTGCAAAATTTTCATGTTTATCCATCTTCCTATCTTTATTATGTTTGGCTTTTGCAATGATTCTCTTTACATCTTTTGCATTATACTTCTCTTTGCACCACTGCCTTCTCTTCTTCTATGTTATTGTTGCTATTACTCCACTTTATTGCTCTTATTATTTTTGTCCTTTAAAAAACTTTTGCAGAGGGCTTTTCACTACAATTGGATTTGTCTTAATCATAATTCTTACTTTTACAAAGATTTCTTCATTGCAATTGTTACTTCTACATAGGTTTCTTCATTGCAATTGTTACTTCTACAAAAGATTCTTATTTTTATTGAAACATACATTCTACAATTTATATATTTCTTTTTTGTCTTTTTGATTTCTTCTATAAACACAAAATTATTTTATGAAACTATGAAATATTGCTTGTGTAATCTCATAAAAGCAATGTTGAATTGTTTGTAATTTTGTTTTGAAATATCATAGAATACAATAGAAATATATGGATTTTAATATTGTAGGAATTATCTTCACCATTACAATGAAATCTACATCATTGTTTCATTCAAAAGCCATACACAAGTTCAAAGAGCATGGTATTTAGAAGTATTAATCATACATTTGTAAATACAAACATCAAAGTGAATGTAAACATCTACAGTGCATGATTTACAACATGGTAGCAAATCTAAATCAAAATCCAACAATTTGTATTCTTATACATAACATTGACACTTCTTTGGATATTGCTGCTCTATTGCTTTTAAAAAGGCACATTGTGTATGTAAATTTCCAAATTAGTAGCAAAATGGAGCCAATTCTCAAATCTAATTAATCGCACATTGCAAATCATGTACAATACTTAATATATGTCAGTAGTCAATCAATGATTCTCATTATTCTAACAGATGGGACTTTTTGATGTTACATATAGATATTCAAAGATGTTTTTTTTTTTTTTATATAAGTGGTATAAGTAGTGTCCATTGTCACTTTTGCAAAGGGTTCTTTATTGCAATTTAATTTGCCTTCATTGCAACTTCATCACAACTTGATGTCCCTATTATACACACATATAAATACAATACACATTTGTAGCCAATCAATGTCCATGACTGCAATTAAAGAAACAAAAAATAAATAAATAAATAAATAAAATACAATGTATATCAATAGCCAATCATTAATCCTTACTACTCCAGCCAATGGAATTTTTTGGTGTTACATACAAATGTTTGAAGTCAAATTTTTTATATGAGTGGTATTCATTGCCACTTTTGTATAAGGCTCTTCATTGTAATTTGATTTGTCTTCATTGCAATATTCACTTTTACAGAGGGCACTTTATTGCAAGTTGATTTGCTATCATTACAACTTCATTGCAACTTCATGTGTTCCTTATTGTGATTTAAAAATAAAAAAACAAAATAAAAAAAAATAAAAAATAAAAACATATAAACAAATAAACAAACACAATACAACATACCTCAACAACCAATCAATGTTTCTTACTATGATTAAAATATATATACTTATGTTAGCAACCAATTAGCCCTTACTATTTCAGCCAATGGGAGTTTTTGACACTACATACAAACATAGATGCTTGATTTCTTTTATATAAGAAGTAGATGAATGTTAAGTAGATGAATGTTAAGTAACTCATTCTTACAATTAATAACACTTTTTAAAATTATGGATAACAAGAATAAAATATTTAATACTTATAATAATAAAAGGATTAGAGCTTATAATTATTTAATCTTACAAAAGATACAGTATTATGATATTATTAAACACAAATGTCAATACAAATCATGTAAAAAAGTCAAATTGAAGTTTAAAGTTTACAAAGTATTTTTTAATCAAGATTTCTTGTTCTGTCTATTGTCTTTCAAAAATATTTCAACAAATATGAGTGTGATACTGCAATATTTTCATCATTTTAATTTTTTCTTTTTTATAATAGAAGTTGTGGTTTAACAAAAAAAAAAAAGCTTTACATCCATCTTATCAGATTTTAAAGTTAAGAATAAAATCTTTGTTGTAACAAATAAGGAAAAATAAATAAATGAATAAATAAATAAAGAGCTCAAATCTAATCTCTTTTAAGTTCTTGGCCTTGCTTGTATTTTTAACTTTACTTTATTTCCAAACGTCTATTATTGTGTACATTTTTTTCAATCTTCATATCCTTAAACTTACATGTACTTCCAAAAAGAACTTATTGTTTTCTTTTAAACATTTAAACACATATTTGAACAAATTGCTCACTCATAATTATTTTATTTTATTTTTTGAATGTTAAAAAATCATTAAAAATGATGAATTATGTAATATTCTACGAAATCTGTGAAATAACATGCCCAATTCTTTAAAATAATTCATCGCCTTCACCAACTTGAAGATTAAATGTCTTGTTTTAACACATGGATTCCCCAAGCAAAGCAAAGGAGGTCGTATACCCGGAGTATAGAGAACCGGATCAAGCATCGGTTAGACCATTGAATCAGAACCTGTCATGTGGATGGAATTGATATTCTCTTAATACCTGCGCCCGGAGAGTTACCTGGTCGAGACCGGGTATCGTAGATGAAGAAAGAATGCAGATCCCGCGAGAACAAGTTCACTCGGCTGATGTCTCTCCCCTGAAGCGAAATGCATGTGAGCTAGTCCCGTTGTCGATCTCGGAAATTCCTCTCATCGATCTTCGCTGAGTTGATCGAATTGCTCTTCTGCCTCCACTGCATTAAATTCTCAAGCTCAAGCGTTTCGTTTTTCTAAGCTTCAGATTCGCACAATGTCTCTACCGACACTTAGGTGAGGAATTTGCGCGCTCTTCGGCGGCTCTTGACGGCCTCCGCTAGGCCGCGCTCGATGTTAAGGGAGTGACCCAACAGTTCCGGTTTTGGGTTGAAGCAGCCAATGTTGCGGATGTCGCATGAAGAGGTGGGCGTTCCCCACTCTTAAACCCTGGAAACTCGTCGGTGAAAGCAGCGGCGTGTTTGCTTGCTGTGACGCCGGAAGTTGATTTTGAAACCGCCTACGCTCATGTTTGGTGATTTCTTTTTGAGCGAGGCCTATAAAAAATTTAAATTTAAATTGATCATCTGCTGGGTCTGTCGGTATTATTTTTTTGCTCACTTCAATTTCCTTAGAGCGTCTGTATATGTGGACGCCGCTTTAAGGAGAGCGTAGGAGAACACTCGGTGTTGGATGTTTGCAATGGGTACCTTGTGCTTGTTGGCGTACAAGAATCCGTTGAGCAAGTTGCATTTTCGGCGAACTGGGATTGTGTTTTTGTTGTTGTTTACACAGAACCCATACATGATTGCTGTTTTTTAGTGCAGCATTATGTTGAATTGTCCCTTTGCTGCTTACGTGTTTTTCTTCGTACACATCTCTCTTTCTGGAACCTGTAAATGGCGGACGTTGGGACCTGAAATAGGTCATTGAGCACTTCGGGTGCATTATCTTAAAATTCCTATAATCCAAGCGGCGTGAGAACCTGTGCATAGAAGTAATGAGGTGTTATGGTTCGACATTGGGTCTCGAATTGTGTAATTTTGCAGGTTTTTTGTTCGTGTGAAGTCGCATTTCAGGGGCCCGCGAGGGCGAGATGTTAGCCAAGGCAGCAATGACGAGTGGCTACGGGTCGCAATTAGACCCCTTGACTCTCGATTCAGATGAGCATTCGAGCGAGTGTGACACGGATAGCTTGACCAGGAAGGCACCGACCGTGGTGTCTGATTTTGCAACCTCCGCAGATACGAGCGCTTCCACGTTCAAGCGACCTAGGGTAGAGCCAGCTGAGTTTTCTGTGCGGGCTCACGGCTTCAAACGTCCGAGACAGAAGCCATGCGTAACTGCAAGCGGGACCGAGACCCCCAGTTTCATTCCCTTGTCGACATTTCCGGAGGTTGAGGATGCTAATGGGGTTGGGGATTGTTTCATCGTTCCATCTCCTCCGAATCCACAAATACACTCCCTCACGCCTCAACAGCGTCTGGTTATCGACCTTGTACAGAAGGGCAAGGTTAACTATCTTCATGACGCAAATGATGCCTGATTTGAAATTGTCTCACGGTTAAACGAATTGTTAAGTTTCTTTTTGTCTTTCTTTCCTTTCGGATGCCGCATTGAGTTTGATGTGCATCCGAGCAGAATGTATTTTATTCTGGATCCGGAGGGACGGGGAAATCCTTAGTGCTTCACCACATCGTCGGCATTCTCAAGGACAGGTTCCGGGACGAACACAATGACAGGCTGGCTCAGGGATCGTCTTGCGGGTGTTGTGCCTGCAAAGTGGCCATTACGGCGCCTACTGGCATTGCAGGTAAGGTCCCTGCAGCAATTGAAATTTTAGCTTCAATTTGTTGCCGTATTCGTGCTGAGGATTTCTTCTTGCTTCTGCTTTTGACCTTATGTAGTTTTGGGTGCTGGGCGTGCAGCAATTCCTATCGGAGGGACCACTGTACATAGAGCAACTGGAATTGGCATTCCACGACGTCGTCAGGATTTCAACAGGATGTGGAACGCTCCCGTGAAACGTAGATGGCGCAATATGAGCGTTTGGATCATCGACGAGATCTCGATGGTGAGTGCCGAGTTGCTAGAGTCTCTGGAGCAGATGATAAGAAGGATTCGGACACCAGCGGATCTTCTGCCGGGTGTTCCCTTCGGTGGACTTCAGGTATCTACTCTAACTTCTGGTGCATAATCCCTGGAACTTATTCACAGATTGTTAGAAAACTGGGAGATGGGCGGTTTGTTCAAAATGTGTACTTCATTTTCGCTTTGTGTTTATTCTGTGATTTCATAAATTACAGGTCATATTTTCCGGCGATTTCTTTCAGCTGCAACCAGTGTTAGAAAAGATAACGCACACTAGCGATGATCAGTTCCTTAACAGAGGACTGGCGTTTGAGGCACCTGCGTGGACGAGAGCTAAGCTCACTCCAGTCATCTTGCAGCATGTTTTCCGTCAGGTCTGTAAACTTGTTGTCGCATCACTCCGGACGGTCATGGGTTAATATCCTTTTTCTAAAAACCACTCTTGGTAGTCTGGTAAAAGGATTTGCAACTAGATTGTGGGGCTGCTGGAAATTGTTTAAAAAAATTAAACCGTTTGTAAAGTGCAGAGCGATGGCGATTTCGTTGACCTACTGAATGGGATTAGAACGGGGGAGAACCCAGCAGCTTTGGAGGAGATTGCCAAGCGGTGCTCAAGGCCATTGCCTATGGAAGCTGGGATTCTACCTACGGTTCTGTATTCAAAGTAAGAGAAATTCTTCCTTCGCAGTTTCAGAATCTTAAATCATTGGAATCTGGCTTCCTAACCCCTAACAGTGTATTTCATTCATCAGGAATGCAGATGTCGACAAGTACAATCACGATAGATTGAGAGAATTGCCCGAACAAGAAGTGGTTTTAGTTGCCGAGGAACACATTTATACCAATGAAGGACTCAAAAAAGAAGAAGCTCGAAACCTTGCTCTTCAACAAGCGCAGTTCAATCAGTTGAGGGACGCTGAATTTTGGAAGCTCTGCACTGCGCTCAAGGAGTTGAGCTTGAAAGTCGGAGCACAGGTATGGTACTCATCGCAGCATACTTCTAAGGTACGGTGAAGATTTCTTAATCACTTCAATGATTTCTTTTCGTTCCGAAGCATTGATTATGCATGGAATTCAGGTCATGTTGGTCCGGAACTTGACACTTACGGGCAAGGAGAGCGATCTCGTGAACGGCTCTCGTGGCGTTGTGGTGGGGTGGGCGTTCCGGGACGTCATCTTGGAAGAATGTCGAGCTGTGCTGAGAAGCAAACAGTATCCGGAAACGCCAAAAGAGGTTGAAGCACAATTAATGTATGATAAACTCAAGGCTACCTGCTTTAATCTTATCCCTATCGTCAGGTTCAGAAATGGTCGTGAGATCTACTGCGTGCCGGAGAGATTCTCTTACGAGATCTTGAATACTGGAGAGTGCGTAAGATGGCAGGTGCCTTTAAAGCTGGCCTGGGCTATCACTATCCACAAATGCCAAGGTACACATTCATTTACATTAACCTCTATAACACAATCCAGATTTGCGTAGATCATTAGCAATTTGGATTACCAGCGTTGTGTTTTCTGTTTGATGAGGCGTGAGTGGCTGCGCTGAATGCAGGAATGTCGCTGGACTATGTCCAAGTCACCCTGAAGGACATCTTCGCCGAAGGCCAAGTATATGTGGCGTTGAGTAGAGCGCGGTCTATGGAGGGCTTGCAAGTCATCGGGAACCCCTCCCGCGGAGATGTCCGGGTGAGTCCGAAGGTAATGGAGTTTTACAGAGCCCTGACAGCTAACGAGGCGTCCTCCGTTTGTCCATTGGACTTCCCCGATGTGCCTATCGTAGTCCCTCCGGAAGAGATACTAGACAGAGTAAAAGCCTCGCACATGGTGCGCACCGATGCTTCTTTCGAGAAATTCATTCCCAAGAGTGACCCTCCAATTTCTGTGACCTGTTATCACTGTAAAAAGCAAGGCCATGCCGCGTTTGAGTGCAGGATGAGGCCTATTTTATGAGAAACGTACAAATTGAGCTCATGCACTTGTCTGAATGCTAACAGTGTTGTGCTTATTGAGTGATCGGTGGTCCAAAAGTACGTTCTCTCAAGCGCCTTGCGAAACGAGGAATACTGTTCCTCGGCGAAGCAGGTGCCACGAGTCGAATAGGCATCGCTGGTGAGAATCTGGGTTTGTGCCCAGCTCCTGAATTGGGGGGCCTCACCAGAATCTCAACCCCCTAAACCCTAAATTCGAAGTTAAAGTCTTATGTCAACAATGATGTCGTCGCCCTTCATCTCCTCATACGTGTTCAAGAGATGGAATGGTTAACCAGACGAGTCGAATGGCTCTACTTCACGGCAGGCGACAGTGATCCACCATGTACGAGAAAAGATTACACAGCATTGCAATATGTAGCACCGGAGATTCAGTTCCGCAGAGCCAATCAAATCCTTCTTCTGCCGTTTTAAGATTCAGTTTTCTCAAGGTCAACGATAAGCCAATTGACGATCAGTGCATTGACTGTGCAATTTGGCGATCCTCCTCGATTAATTACCGAAGTAGGTGTTCGAAATGTCCTGGTTCATGAGTGATGTTTGAGAGTTAGCCCTCGGTAACACCGATGCCGACGAATACGACAACCGGAAGAGAGAAATACAATGTATAGTCGGATAAATATCGCCAACATAGTTGCGTTTAACTCTTACTTTTTGGAGAACAAACACAAATACGGAATCTTACATGTTTATTGTAACCCAATATTATTAGTTTTGTAAATCTGATTGTTCCTGGTCTCCCACACATCAGAATTAGTTATTTCTATTGTGCGTAGATTCCTTCATAAAGCCACACTTAATGAAACGGAACAATGGGACCTCGTTTCATGAAGGCCTTGGCAAAGCCAAATATGGGCCGTGTTAGTGGCAATTAGGGCTTGTGTGCGAAGGCCAAAGAGAATGTCATGTGGGGCGATGGCCATGGCGTGTGCGGTGGACGTTGCCCTGCGCCCACCACCGCCACCGCTGTGGGCCCCGTTGCGACCAGTCTTTTATTCTCTCTTTGCGACCGAGTGATGCGCATCGATTGAATCTCTCTCTGCCCACTCACGTACCCTTCAGACAAATCACTTTTGCCGATATTCATATTCTTGACGTTGTTGCAACCAAACTTTCAATTGCAGCGTGTGGTGGCAAATGCGATCGTAAAGCTGGCAGAGGTCCTAGTTCGTAAGGTGGAATCTTCTGTTTACGGTGTTGTGCCGGCTCTGTTCCAGTCAACGAGTTTTGGGTTGTGGGTGTAGCACATTTTTGACGTTTCCTGGGTCCGAATTTGCCTCTTCTGATTGGAGATTGTGGGTACAGGCTTCGCATTTGGAAAGCTCGAGAGCTTTGTAGTTGTTTGGTGCTTGCGGTGCATTCGAGTGCGGCTTGAGTGTGTGTTGATACGTAGGATTCTCCCTGGCCTTTCATTTTGATAAGGCTGAATGCTATGTCTGTGAGGTTTTGTTAGGTTCGTGTCTGACGTATGGTGCCAAGATTCGTCTCTTTGAGATTCTCTTGCTGAATGCGTGCGGAGCGGAGAATGTTCAGGACTTCGTTGAATAGTTTTCCCATGTTGGTGTAGCATTCCCGCTTTCGCAGCGTTCTGCTTATTCTGGATATAATCTGATTGGAAGTTCAGTACATGCATTTTTAGTCTTGTTTGTCAGTATTGTTCCCAAAGGCAGTCTCTTCTACTCAATGCCACAACAGAACTTGAGGGGTTTTTGACCCAAATTACGACGGACCTGCGACGGAATCTCGTGCAGTTGAGTTGTTTAGAGAGGACCTGAAATATTATGACAGGTCCCTCTGTTTGCTTTCCATAAATCATACAACATAGTGATTACGCTTTTTCGGTCTGCGCCATATTCTTAAGCCAAAACCAACTTTATGGGCTGAGAACAGAGAGAGAATCCTTTTGTGCTACACGATCTCCTCGTCTCTTGGGGACTTCTGTAGCATAACCCAGGGAGAGTTTTGACTGAGGCACAACTGTTGCAAAGATGACTGGCTTGTCGATAACAGATGGAGAGCCCCAAGACGGGACCATGAGCACGGCGCACACAGATAGGACGCCCCTGCTTCCTAGCAAGAGGCAGGATCTAGTGGTTGAAGATGTGTACGACGATTACCACGAAGCGTCTGTGCCAAGTGCGATATTCAACCTCTCAACCACCATTGTGGGTGCGGGGATTATGGCGTTGCCTGCTACGATGAAGGTAATGGGCTTGCCGCTCGGTATCCTCACCATCATTGTAATGGGAATTCTCAGCGAAAACTCAATTCAAATCATGCTGCGCTACTCGAGGCCGTCGGGGGCGAGGTCGTACGGCGGATTGATGGCCGATGCATTTGGTGGGATTGGACGTACCCTGGTGCAGCTCTGTATTATAATCAACAACATTGGCATCCTCATCGTGTATTTGATCATAATTGGTAAATCATCTGCCCTGATCTCTCGGAATTCGTTTTTTCAACTCCTTTCTGGAACCAGCAACAAACTCCAGGGCATGAAGCACTTCAATCGACCTTGGTCAATGTATTTCATCATAATTGTAAAGAACTTAGACGATTTTTTTGCAATCGATTCTGTTTCCAAACGCAATCGAACTTATGATCAGTGACTGCACTCCAAAGTATAGTTATGGCTTATCTTCGTGTGAGTTTCTATGTTGTAGGTTGGAGCGAGATGTTTGCTTACCTTTGAGAAACATATATCTCATCGCTGTCCTTCTAATACACATGTTTCTAGCGGGATACGTAGGATAGTTGTCATAATCCTGTATGGCTTCTATCGTTTCAGAATTTTATTTTGAGTAGTGTTCTTGTGCTTCTTCCATATGATAATTATCATCGTCTTTTAATGTCTATTCCTCTTCGTGCAGGCGACGTACTTTCGGGAACTTCAGCTTCAGGGGAGCATTTTACTGGTGTGCTTGAAGAGTGGGCGGGCGGTCCGACATGGTGGAATGAGCGTACCTTTGTTCTTTTCACAATCGCCGTCGTAGTTCTGATGCCTCTCATCTCCTTTCGACATGTTGGTAAGCAATCTACGCACTTAGAGTTCTCATGAGTACGTAATACCCTCTTAAGCACCCGATTTCCCGAGTCATCTTCCGAGGTTTATGTTGTTGACACGGTTGCTCTTGCGGTCGATGATTTCAGACTCCTTGAAATGGACATCCGCATTGTCCGTCGCACTGGCTGTGGTGTTTGTTGTCATTGTCGCTGGGGTGACGATATGGAAACTGTTCGCTGGAGAGATTTCATGGCCAAGGTTGACACCAGATGTTTACGACCAAAAGACATTCTGGCGGCTCTTTACTGTCATTCCAGTTATGGTCACTGCTTACATCTGCCATCACAACGGTACAGCCTTGCACTTCCTTCTGTTTGTCGCATTCATTTTTTTTAATCCATTATTTCTTTCTTCCTCTTTATTTGTTTCTTTTGCCTTCTGCAAGTAGATTGGCCACTGCAAGGTTTGTGGGTTCATCTGTGAGATCCCACGGCCCTTCGCTTAATTTTTTTATTTTTTATACCGCAGTGCATCCCATTGCAAACGAGCTGTCCGGAACTGCCGATTCGTCAGACGAGAAGATGCGCAACGTGGTGCGATGGTCGATGCTCCTGTGCGGCACCATTTACCTCTGCACTGCGACGTTTGGCTATCTTCTCTTTGGGGATGCAACAAGCGATGACATCTTGTCCAACTTTGACACCGATTTGGGCGTTCCTTTCTCCCATCTTATCTGTATCATTGTCCGGATCAGCTACGCAGTACACATAATGTTGGTCTTCCCGCTTCTCAACTTCTCACTCCGCCTTAACCTTGACTCCTTCCTCTTCCCAAGGGCCACCCCACTTGCCCACGACACCGTCCGGTTCTCCCTTATCACCGGCTTCCTCATCAGCTGCGTCTTCCTTGGCGCAGCTGTGGTGCCCAACATATGGGTCGCTTTCCAGTTTACCGGTGCAACCGCCACTGTCTGCTTAGGATTCATCTTCCCAGCACTAGTCCTGCTTAAGTAAGTGCCGCCATCTCTAGCAGTAAAGTTTCCTCGTACTCCATTTGAAGAGCCTCAAATTGTTGTGGTTACACTTCTTGAGCTGTGATTTCTTTGTTCATGCAGGGACAAGCCCTTGTTGGCAACCAGGAGAGACAAATGGGAGGCCGTGGTTATGGTAATCCTTGCAATCCTTTCCAGCGTGGTTGCCGTTACAACGAACGTGATCAACCTTGTGGATCCAGGAAAAAATGGTTCTACTTAAGGATTTACCAGCTACTTCCTCCGAATCATTGAAGAATGCAAACTAGAGAATCGGCGTTTCTGTTCAATAATCTGATTGTTTGGATTCATTCTGCCCTCTCAGCAGAGAATGCATATCCATGTGCCGGACCTCGGTTCCATCGTGAACAAAGTTGGCCATTGTGATGTTCTTATATCCAAATAGACTTGACATAAACAGCAAAAGCCTGAATTCGAACCTCTCGAATTTGGTCTGATAATTTGAAGCTGTTTTTAGGAATCACAGTCCATAAATTGTGTTTTACATCGAGGCGCCCTTCAGCAGCTAAAGCTGTATAGTAGGTCATATTATCTGTAAACAGAATTCTGAACATAGGTAGTGAGACTTGTAATCATGGTATCAATTGTATTCATTTGTGCTGGAAGATTACTTCTATTGTGCTACCGTTTTTAATGTTGTCTCACTTGACAATTCTTGTCTCAAAGCCCTTCTTCTGCTCTTTCTGTTTTGTTTTGTTTTTTTTTTCGTGTTCACAGATGTATCTTTCAATTCCACAGCCGAAACCATAGTTGGCCTCCCTTGACCTGCACTACAGCAAGATCTCGAAGTAACTTGAGTTTCATTTTCCGGCCAGTCTGAAATTAGCGTGTACACTTTTTGTTCAATTTCTAATGCAACACTGTCGGCCAAAGCATCAAGGATACAAGTTTTAGGGCTTTGCATTAATCATGTGCATGAAATTAATCACTCTAGCAATTGGACTTGTTTCTTGAAAGTGGAAACTAGGTTTGATAGACCAACGAATTGAAGCCGAGAATGGAAAAAAGTGCTTCCACCCTCCATTTAGTCGTGCTGATTGAGAGGCAATTATTGTTGCTAGCAGCGGACGTCGTTCTCTCTCTCTCTCTCTCTCTCTCTCTCTCTGCATTTAAGTGTGCGGTGATTGCCCCTACACTTCATGTGCTCATCTCCTTCATTGTACACGGAAACGAGACCCCTATCCCCTTCCGTGGCCAACCAGATAATTCCTGTTTGCAAGTCTAATTTGCAACGTCCAATCAGAGAGACTCTCGACTCTTCCCAACGACGAACACGCCGTGCAAAATCTGTCCAGGGTCGGTCACTCACTACCTCCCAATTTTCTAAAAATCCTAAGCTCGGCACGAAATTCCAACATGAAGCGTCGCATAGATCCACATTACATTGCTTGGAAATCAGTGGAGGAGTCCACTTCCCTGTCTTGCCTCGAGGGCCCGGATCTAGACGTCGCCATCTCCGCACCATCGCTCGAGGCTACCGAAAACAGATTCAAAGGTGTACTGTACAAAAAATTAGGGCTGCGGAGTGTGCAATTATGATTTAGGGTTTAGGATCTAGGGTTTGGCGGGCCAGGGGACTCATTTCAGGAACCCTAAACTGGCGATGAATCACCTTAAAAACATGAATTGAAGCAATCTCGTAATGTAGGAGCTAGATACTTAACTTGAGAAATTGATCATGCTTGATTACTCATAAATTATCATTTATTAAGGTCAAATGTAAATTTACGTTACAATATATGCAAAAATAAAATTGTGTGAATACAAAAGTATCTATGTAATGTTTTACGATATACTTTATTTCTTATTTCTTTCTTTTTCAAAAATATTGCAATTATGATTCCCTTCTATTTGCTTGATCGATGAATTTTTTAAATTTCATAATGATTAAAAATAATTATTCCAAGTATTGGAAAAACTTAGGTAGAAATTTAAAAAAATATTTGACTACAACATTTTAGGCTTGCAAATAAGATCATAAAATATATGCAAGATTATCTTCATTGATGTTATAATTTTTTCTTATGTTACCTCCAAATTTTAGCATTTGTTATGCATTACCAATTCAAAATATGTTGGATGTGTAAAAATTATTATACTGCGCTTATTGAATGTCTATTTATTTCATTCTGATAGGTAATGAGGAAATGATTCTCTTTAAATGGTTTTGTATTCTTGAAGGAATTGTGTTGTCCTTATGACTTTGATCATGGCCACCTTTGCTGATCTACAATTTTTTTACCAACATTGCTATAATATATATTTTATAGTTTTCATTCTAAATTTGCATGAATATAATTTATTAGTTTTGAAGTTGTTATTTATTAAAATATTACAAACTAAAGGACATTGTTTGAAGGACTCTTTTGTCCATACTCTCTCAATTTTATTTTTTGAAAACAAGTGCACAAAAGCAGGTACTTTCATACACTTTTCTGATTTTTCTAATAAATAAACATATAACTATATATATATTTGACATATTTAGCATAAACTCAACCTTTTACATATTAAAAAGTATGAATACATTATATAACAATTAACAAAAGTTTCTTAAAATAATATTATAATTTAGAGAATTACAATCAAAAATATATTAGACATTGAATTACATATCAAATTAGATAAATATGTTCCATTACTTTTATGATTGATTTTTAAAATTATATTACTTACAATATAAAAATATAAACTATTTTAGTAATATTATTATCATACTATTTGTAAGAACAATCATCAATTACTTTTTATAATATATATTTTTTCCATAAGTATAAATTTGTATGAATCTAAATCCTATATAAAAAAAATTATTTTATATCTTTAGATTGTTGCTATTGCCACTCCAATTTTTGCTAATGCTACCACTATTTGCCATAAACTTGAGTTGCACACCACAAGGCACTTTTTTCAACCCCTCTTCTTTCACTCACCCATAAATACATACTAGACACAATCCTCTATCATTCTTTCTCATCACCTCATCTACAAACCATTGGCTCCTCTTCCTCTTGTTTAACATCAAATAGGTTCTTCCTCAAAAGGTCGAAGTTTCTAACAATGGTTTTAAAAGAAAGGACTTCTAGACACATAAGACAAAAGCTGTAGAGATTTACAGGTTACTTACATTTTGAAATCCACTACAATCTCTTAGCACACACACGACTTTATTGGAAATTAGGTTTGGTGAAGCAAAGACCAACTCTTGCCTTTATATAAAAGGATGGTGGAATAGATGGTGGTGTATGGATGAAGAGATGAGGAAAGAGGAGAGAAGGTGGTGCATGGTATAGGATTATGGTCAAGTGGAAGAAGTGGGAGTGATTAAGCTTTGAGATGTAATTTAGATGGGAGTATTTAAGAGTAATTAAGACATCTTTGTAACCAATGCATGTGGTTGAAAAAAATGCCTTGTAGTGTATAATTTATGTTTACAACATATTTTGGTAGTATGAACAAAAACCATAGTAACATGTGGTGGATGGCAAGTTGTGGTGATACTAACAAAAATTGATTGGCAATATTAACATCATATGTTTAATCACAATCTTTTTTAATCACATATGTTTAGTCACAAATTTTGTGTAGTCTTAATTTAAAATTTTAAACAGTTACTTAAATAAAAATAAATTTATTTAAAATTAATTTATCAAAAAAATTATATATATATATATATATATATATAATTTTTTTAGATAGAAACCAATTTCTTAAGTACTTATTTTATTATTATTATTATTATTATTATTATTATTATTTTCACATTCTTTTCTTGAATTACTTTTTAAAATTACTATGGTATTGCGTAAATAATTTTTTTAGAAGTATTTATAAAAATACTTCCATTAGTACAAAGTATGATGCCATACAAAATAACTTCAAAAACATTAACTCACTATTTATTTATTTTCTAACATTTGTGATTTCCCTAAATTTTTTAATATCAAATGTTTTGTGTTTTGAAGATTAAAACGATTAGACCTAAATAAAATGTTAAGAGTTATTTTTTAAATTATATATTTTTTTGACCAGAAGTAATTAATACAGTTGCAGCAAATATTATACACAAAGTTATACCATTATTTTTAGCAATACTGATTAAGATGAACACAAAACATTCACAGGTATCTTATTACACGTTTTAATAAGCATTACAAAGTGATACATATAACTCTAAATAATTTCCAATCTACTAAAGCTCAAAAGCATGCACATTGCATGTTCTACATTCTACAGGAAGTTCAAAACTTACTGAAATAAAAACTAATATTTACTAATTTAAAGTAAAATGTAAGTAAGAATAAGAATAATAATAATAACGTATCATTGAAACAAATAGGACTGCAACCATTAAAACAGAGCTGTCAACGAAATCAAAATATACAACAAAGAAAATCGTTACTAATAAAACGGAAACAAATCAGGTGCACCAGAGCAATGAATACAGCATCATGTCCTAAATCAGCACCTGAAATCGCATTCTCTGCAAATGCAAAGCTCATCAGAATCATGCTTTTCATAAATCTTAGTTAAGCAATGCAAGATCACAGAAGCAAAATGGTTGTTTGAATGAGCAAAAGATTAACTTACACAGTCTTGCAAGTATTCATCAGCAAAGTGCACTGACAATGATAGAGATAGGCATTCTGGAATCATTATCGGAAACTGTTGCAGCCAAGCAAAAGCTATGAAGAATGCTGTGAGAAAACTTAACGCAGATGCTGCAAAAAAACAACAGACCCTTCGCACTCCTGAATAATTAACACACACGTTGCGTATAAGCTTTAAGATCAAAGTGCTTCACAACGGCAATGCGCTTTATCATTTGGAGTTTGCTTATAGATCTCGGCAAATAGCATCGTCTCGACAGGAAAATCCCGGTAAAGGTAAGAGTGATAAGATCCTCACGACTTACGCCAAACCCCACGGATCATGCAGTAATTTAGAGTTAAAATCCTCGAGGGCAACAGCGTCGAAAATGATTGACGATCTTCATAATTGCGGATTCTTTTCCGAAGTACTGTTCAATACATTTCCTCCCACAGATGCGGCAACACAAAAACATCAGCTACTTGAAAAAACACTCGCCATGCCTCAACACCCAACTACAGCAATCGGCAGAAGTTTGCACAGCGGGCTTGATGACATTACCGAGATCTAACCTATGCGACCTAAACCCAACCAAGAGACGCATTGTCGTCTATTCTATACGAGAGTCGGAGATGGTGAAGCAGGGAATGCCGAGAGGATTAGCACCCCAGAAATTGCAAGAAATGAAAACCATAGTTGGAGAAAAATGCGCACCGCATAGTTACATGAGGCTGCGAGGGTTCTCGAGAACAATTGACGCAAGGGTGCCGGAGGCCCGAACATCAAGGAGCGAGAGTGCGGGGAGGAGGGTCAAGACGCGCATCCATCCCATTGATCCTTCATCCAAACCATCCCTCTCATGGGCCCTCCGCCTCGCTTCCCTCAATCGTGCACTTCAAATACCGCGTTGCAGTCATTCATGCTGTATTGCTCCGTAAGCACGCGCGAGCGGGTCCTCTATTGTCTTCCCCGCTTCGCCTCACAGTCCCCCTCCCCCCTCCCCCTCCCAATCATTGTACTCGGCTCAATCACGCCTCCACCCTCTTGTGTCACATCTCTTTCTTCTCTGGTGGGCGTCGCACTTCTGCAACCGATCGCCGGAAGCCTAGGTACGTCGACATTTTCTAGATCTGGATCCCTTAGTGCAACAGCGAGTGGTACGATTTTTCGTGGGCTGAGTGTGGAGGTTGGGTGGGCCTTGAGTTTGCCTTTCCCCAAGTAGTGCTGCGGTTCTATCCGCTGGTTTCGTTTGTCGGCATTATCTTGGTTTCTTTTGTCATTTCATCTGTAGTGAATAATCTTTTATTGGGCAGTGTTTTTTTATGGACAACATCAGGGGTCGTGACAGAAATATTGTGTGATCCCGGCGGCCTTGTTCTGTTTTAATAGGTCTTCTTGATAGCTATTATAAAGATTTGCAAATCTTCGCATATTTCAACGACGTTTTGCAAATTCCGATTCCTTATCATCACTATGTTGTAGGGGACTCTCAGTCTCGACATGCCTCTTGTGGAGGCAACGCTACTCTCTCCTTGTCGAATTTTTCCAAGTACCCTCAGTTTTGCGGACCTGCTTACGGTAGCGTGCTTTCGTTTCAATCTATTGGGATCGATATGAAAGAGCTTGTCTCTCTGCTCCAGTAGGACTTAGATCTGAACATAGTCTACCTCGTAACCTTCTTTCCATGTGTGGTATGCTTGGGAATCGATGAATGAAAACTGTGATCTTCGCTACTAAGCCTTTCAAAACTGCGGAGTGGCAGATACCGACATTGGCGGTACCAGGCTTGCGGGACTTGGGCGTAACGAATACTTGTAAATCCAAGGGGAGATTGCAAGATGGATAATTTGATTGGGCTTGTGAATAGGATTCAGAGGGCTTGCACTGCCCTCGGTGACCATGGAGGCGAAGGTGCAGTTGCAAGTCTCTGGGAGGCCTTGCCTTCGGTTGCTGTCGTTGGTGGGCAGGTGTGAAGACCTGTTCATTATTTCTCTTCAACCTTCCAGCTTTTCGTTTGCTCTTGGTTTGTATGGTTGTTTGGAACTTCCTGAATAAGAAGTGGTAATCCACTCCTTTAGTTCTTCAGCATCCCTCCATATAAGAACGACATGCCTAACAATATATACTTTTGGAAAATTTCTGGAAGTGCCAGCTACAGTCTAGTTATGATCATCTACCTCAATGTATACGTTTGTAGAACCTTGCCCAGGCCCATTTCAGCATTATTAGACACTTCCTAGTTAATTTCCTCGTCACCTATCTCATGTCAAGAATTGCGGGTTCAAATTTTGTGCAAGATCAATTTAACTGATCAGGAAGTGCAATGTGGGTCACAAGCGTCTGTCACCGCTGAGTTAGTTGAACATGTTGTCCAAAGGACATTGCACTTGTAGAGACATATATCATGAAATGAGATATTCTCTTTTGCTTCTATTGCTTAAAACTCACTTCCTCTCAGTCCACGTTTCATTGATTTGTGGTTATTGCCCTTCAGAGTTCGGGAAAGTCTTCAGTGCTGGAAAGTATCGTTGGACGTGATTTTCTCCCTCGGGGTTCTGGTAATCAGACAATCCTTTTTTGGGTCATAGCGAGTCGCACTAGAGACGTATAAATATAAAAAAATGAAACCTAGGGGTTTACGGTGTACAAATTTTTTATACGGCTCATACATTGTCATATTAAACTTAGTTTATGCACTGGGTGCAACCTCTGGTTCGATTGAGGGACGCGACTTGCCTTACAGATGCTGTTGTTTATCGTTTGTTACGCACGTGCTCTGGTTTAATGTAATGAGTGACATATTGTGTGGCAGGTATCGTTACTAGGCGTCCGTTGGTTTTGCAACTGCACAAAACTGATGAAGGCACACAGGAGTACGCAGAGTTTCTCCACATGCCCAAAAAGCGGTTTACTGACTTTGGTACGCGATTCTGGAGCCTGTCCTAAACTTCCATTATCGTGTGTTCAGATATTATTCAACAGAATTGTTCTGTCTTTAATTGTTCCTTCTTATTGCGATTTTGGGTTATCTGTGGAGAGCACCAACCAATGTGGACCATGAGTGCACCTGTGGTTTATTCCCGACGCATGAATTATATCGTTTCCTTCGCAGCTGCTGTAAGGAAGGAGATCTCAGACGAGACGGACCGAATGACTGGACGGGGCAAGGGAATTTCGGTTGTGCCAATTCAGCTTAGCGTTTATTCCCCCAATGGTACATTCAAGCTACTCACTCGAGCTGTGTCTTATTAGTCTGGTACTGCATTGCAGTTCAGGGAGGTTCAAGGGCAATATTTTGAATCGGAACACTTCCTCTCACTGACTGTATCGTTCTGTGCTTGCAGTTGTGAATTTGACTCTCATCGATCTTCCGGGACTTACAAAAATTGCTGTTGGTGAGAATCACTGCCATGAAAGGGATTAAGATTATTCGTTTTTCTTTTCCGGGTCGAGCTGAAATTAAGAGAAGTAAATACCTGCGAGTTTGCGAAATGTCTTCAAGGACGTTCACATTCTAAAGGGGTTTGTTTGTGCAGATGGCCAATCCGACAGCATCGTGCAAGACATTGAGAACATGGTCCGGTCATATATTGAGAAGGTATCACCAGTCTACCCCCGTCATGTTTTTCTCTTTGTGGGCATCGTCACTTCGAATTTGAGACTGTGATTATTCACTGAAATCACGGGCTTGGAACAGCGGGTGTGTTCTGCGTAGACATGGGAATCTCGTCACAGAGCGGCATTGTTGCTGTTGAGGGAGTGGTACATGCTGAATGTTTGTGTCGTTGTTGCAGCAAAATTCTATCATTCTTGCCGTGTCTCCAGCGAATCAAGATATCGCCACTTCAGATGCTATGAAGATTGCTAGAGAAGTGGATCCTACTGGTGAGTAGCAGTGAGTTTACATTTGTAGTTCGGTTTATCTTATAGCTTGTGGGGTTCTTTGTCCTATTTGAATTCAGCACTGGGATATCTTCTACCAAGGACACAACAGTGATCTGATACATCTTGGTTCTTCTGCGTGCGCTGTTTTACCACAAGCATCGGCCTTCTGTGGGCCGTCGTCGTAGTAGTGCTTTTTCTGCGTTATATAGTTTGATGGTGTGTGTGTAAATTTGCAGGAGAGAGGACTTTTGGGGTCCTTACCAAGTTGGATCTGATGGACAAGGGGACAAATGCCCTTGATGTAAGTGGGAAACTGCATCGTTCAACTCGGGAAATGCTCATGTGCTCCGAATTTGGTTTTAGTTGATTGTCTTGTCGTATGGACTCCCTAACAAGGAAGGTGCGAACGATCACATCTCAGCTGTGGACATACATGTGTCTCTGCACAGGTCCTTGAAGGACGCTCCTACCGTTTACAACATCCGTGGGTAGGAGTTGTGAATCGTTCCCAGCAGGACATCAACAAGGAAGTGAACATGATAGCAGCAAGACGCAGAGAGCGAGAATACTTTGCAACCAGTCAAGATTACGGTCACCTGGCCAGCAAGATGGGTTCTGAATATTTGGGGAAAGTGCTCTCCAAGGTACGTAGCAGCTGCTACTGAATCACTACTGTTTGATGTACTTGGTTCACAAGCAGCTTTTGTTTTGATTACTTTCCATGCGTCCCATGACCTTACATTCATTGGCTTTCACACTGCAGCATTTGGAAGCCGTGATCAAGTCCCGTATTCCTAGCATCCAGGCTATGATTAACAAAAGTATTGACGAGATCGAGATGGAGCTGAATCAGATCGGCCGGCCTCTTGCAAATGATGCAGGGGTGAGTTGATGAAACTGTTCTCTGTTCTGCGACAACCACCGTTACATGGCTGAACTCGATGTACGAACCGCTGACACCGAGTTGGAAATGTCGTGCAGGCTCAGCTGTACACTATCCTGGAACTTTGTCGGGCCTTCGATCGAATCTTCAAGGACCATCTGGATGGAGCGTAAGTGCCGTCGCCACTGGGGTTTTCGGTTCGTGGTGTGAAGGATGTAATTCATTCATTGCTTGCGTATCGCTGCATTGATGCATTCACAATACAAGTCTTTGATAATGCGTTCGGGAGCAGAGAATGTATAGGGCGTTATTTCAATATTTTCTGAGATTGTTGCGTGTTGCAGACGCCCCGGTGGTGATAAAATATACGCGGTGTTCGACAATCAACTGCCAGCTGCTTTGAAGAAGCTTCCGTTCGACAAGCATCTGTCTGGGCAGAATGTGCGAAGGATTGTTTCGGAGGCTGATGGTTACCAGCCCCATCTTATAGCTCCGGAGCAAGGTTACAGGCGGCTAATTGAAAGTTCGCTGCAATTTTTCAGGGGCCCAGCGGAGGCAGTAGTGGATGCAGTAAGTCACTCTGTTGCAACGATAAATGAACAGTAACGTTTCTAGATTTTCACGAATTCAATTTTTCTCCATCAAGGATATTTTCTAGTCACGACATTCTGCATACTTACCAGTAGCACAGGGTTCGGCTGATTCGTGATTGTGTGACAACCCAGGTGCATTTCATTCTTAGGGACCTGGTGCGAAAATCGATCGGAGAGTGTTCGGTAAGGGTCTGAGACTTTGGAATTTCCTTGCCTGTAAGAACGTGCTGGGTTACCAGCGGAACCTGTCACTTGTGACCACCAAGAGTGCTAGCTATATCTTTCTAGCTTATGTTAATTGGTTTAATGTTTTTAGTACCTCACTGACTTAAACCGAACTTGGAAGCGAGAATAGGAATGATGTGCTGATGTCAACCTTCATTCTCACAGGAACTGAAGAGATTTCCATCACTCCAAGCGGAGATTGCTCAAGCAGCCATTGAGTCGTTAGAGAGGATGAGAGATGAGAGCAAGAAGACCACTTTGAGGCTGGTGGACATGGAATCCAGCTACCTGACCGTGGACTTTTTCCGAAAGCTGCCGCAAGAGATTGAGAAGGGTGGAAACGCTGCTGCCGCAGCTAACGACCGTTACACGGATAACCACTTGCGGCGCATTGGTAATGACGATAACTTTACTATACAATGCATGGCAGACTTTCAACTGTTACTGTAGCGACATCGGTATTCCTTCTTTCCCCTGGTGCACGGGTTCTCTATTGCCTCTTTTTCTTCATTCGGCCTCTGATCCGGTTCTGGCTGGGTTTCGCTGTGGCAGGTTCCAATGTGGCAGCGTACGTTGGCATGGTTTGCGATCAGCTGAGGAACTCTTTGCCCAAAGCTGCTGTCCACTGTCAAGTTCGAGAAGCGAAGAGGTCATTGATGGACCACTTTTACACTCAAATAGGCAAGCGGGAGGTGAGTAGTTTTTCAGTGAATACTGAAAAGGACTGGGTCTTTTTGATGAGCCAGGCGTAAGTGTGTGTGCAATTGTACTTGGAATTGTCTGGTGGTGAGGCTGATACCTATGTTGCACTTGAGCAGGGAAAGCAATTGTCAGCGATGCTGGATGAGGACCCTGCTTTGATGGAACGGAGAGTTCAGCTGTCAAAGAGACTGGAGCTTTACAAACAAGCCAGGGACGAGATTGATTCTGTTGCCTGGAAGTAGTTGGGGGGTCGTACTTAATTTATACCTATTTCATTACTGAATGTTGCATTTATTCATAGCAGCTCTTTTCCCTTGGAGAACGATAATTACAGTTACATCCAAGCCCTCAACTCCCAGTTGCTGAATTACTTCTAGATACGTTGTGTTCACGGCTAGAGCTATCTATTTTTGTGGATCGAACAGGTTGGTGGTGACCTCTTCAGCATATCTAGTTTGTGGTCTGAACTGGGTTGGGTAACTATTAGGGCCAAGCGCAAGTAGATCTATTCATTCATCTGGGTGTCAAACAATATATACTGCAGTGAAAGTATTTGTTTGAGCCCGTCATTTGCCTATGTACACGATTGTTTACATATTTACCAGTCGGCAATCTGAAATGCGTCAACAATATTTATCTCTCAGGCTAATCCCCTGCCCAGCAGTGGTTCTTAATGGCTTCCGTGATGTATACGGATACGTATGAGCATGAGCATGCTATTACAGATTTGGAGCTGGACACAGCTTCGAATCTCTCAGCAGTGCATCTGACATTGCAGCTGTGGGCCGATTCTATTATTGGACCGTTCAAATTGGAAGGTCTGAGACATGTTGATATGCAAATCTTTTACTGTTGACTTTGAGTTTACGTGTTGTTTAGATCTTGTATATCAGTTATTCGACCTGTAAGGACGCTCATGATCTGTACCTAGTAGAAGTTCACAGTAGCAAGTCTGTATACATTATTCTTTTCAAATGAAAGTACTGCTTTGTGATCTTACGACAGCGTTCTGTCTACAGAAAGGGTGAAAGGCGGGTTTCAACTACTTAAATGTAGTCTTGGAAGTGGGTGGTAAGTGGACGTGAATAGCACTGTAAGGCCTTGTACATAACATGAATAATAGTTCAGAGTTCAGCAATAGCGAAATTCGAACTAAATTAGTGATGAAACTACATCTACACCTAACTCTAGAACCTACTGTAGAAATTTACCAACTTATTGTACAAGTGTAAGCAATTGCTTCCAGTATAGCTGCAAAGTTTTAAAAAAACCATGTTTTAAGGTGATACTTCATACCACTTCTTTACCAATAAGTACATGTCCGAATACAATGCCTTCACATGGTAAAATAGATAACATGAAAGAATCTATTAACTTTTAAATTTTCTTAAACTATTTACACTGTTATGTGCATCACTTATTTAGAATGTTGTCTTCTTCTAAAATTCATCTAAAAATAAATAAATGCATTGTATTAGTGCCTTCAAAACATGCACAAAAATAAGACATCATTTTTTGAGCTATCCAACCTGGGCAATCACAACAAATACTACATTACATTTGGAGAATTGTAAAATCTACCCATTCATTTGCTAAATTTACCCAATTTGCAATAATGATTGTTTCAAGAATCTGTGTGCCAAGGGTGGGGGATGTATAGAGATGGATGGGTCAATTTAGCATGGGTGGGTTGATATGACAATTCGTTCTATTTGTTGCAAGCTATCTTCGCAGAAGGAAATGACACATATTCTCTGAACACGAATTTAACTCCTAATTGTTGATATCAAATGTAGAATATATATAGATATATAGATATATACACGTAGGCATTGCAGGACACTTGTATACATTGAGTGAACAACATTTAATACCCACAGTAAAAAGATGTTCTTATAAGCAACAAACAATTAGAATGTCTAGAAATATCTAAAATCATAAAATTAGGTGAATTTTAATTCTCCTACTATATCACACCCACTACAACTTAATTTTCTAATTCTTAGTTACTTTTGGATTTTGTACACAATTTGTAATCTTACTTCTTGGCCATAATCTGTGTAAATTGCTACATTACAATTGGGTTTGAAAATAAGCTCAAAACAATGCTACTTTCTTTCTTTGATACAACACCTAATCTAGATTAAGAAAAAAAAAAAAAAAAAAAAAAAAAACAACAACAACAACAACAAAAAAAAAAAAACAAAACAAAACAAAACAAAAACAAAACACTAACTGTAGTAGAAATTGGTGCAACAACAACATCAAAGACTTTAAACATATGAAAGTGATACCGTCCACACGCATTAAAGAAAAAGCTTGGGAAAAAGTAGAGAGATGGATGAAAAGAACGAAGGGAAGGCGGATCCATTGGTTCATCCATCCAAGGGTGGCGGTGAAGCTCAATGGAGTTCTCAGAAACTTGTGGATATGGCGGATCCACTGGCGCTGTGGTGGCTTGCGATGTTCACCATGGCTTCTTCTTCGCGCCTCATCCCCGCATTGCAGCAATTGTTGGTGCAATTGTTGGTGCAGGAGCAGAAGCAGCAGCAGCAGCAATGGCGACCACCACCATGGCAATGACGTGCTCGGCCTCGAGCCTCAACGCCCACTCGTCGTGCTCGTCCTCTTCACAGGTAACCATTTTCGAAGCTCTCGTTGTTGAGATGGTCGTTTATGGTTATTTGTGTGTGTGTGCGCGTGCAACGGGGGAAGGGCGTGTATCCAATTGGTAGAATTGGCTAGGAATGCCGTGTGGAGAGACGAAATGGTGTGTGGGTTGCGGTGCGGAGAGGTAGGGAGCTGATTGTTTTAGTGAGGAGTTTTGTTCTTTTGTTGCTCTGTGGGTGTGCTTGATATGGGCTGATTGGTGGCTTATGGTTCCTTGATAGAGTGGTGGAATGTGTGGAGCGAGTGTAGAGTGTGAGAGTTTCCCATTGCTTCTTTAGTAGATGTTGGATTAGTCAAGATGAAGTCCCGTATTGGGTGAGGGATCGAATTTGGACCTGTGTGTTGCTGGACGTGTGGTTTTGTTAAAGAATGGCATTGGGTTAGGTCTACCAATCTGGCGTAGCATGGAACAATTTGAGCCGGAGGGAATCGAACTTGATTTTAGTGTGTTTTCATTTTGGGAACTGATTGTTCCTTGAATTTGACCCTGGTCATCAGGTAGATGACAAATGGGACGTAGAGGAACAGCTTTGATGAAGGATATAATGCTTGTTTCATTTGCACAGGCAGGATGCTCATCCACAACGCAGGATCTCGCATGGTTTCCGCAGCGCCTGGGCAATGGAAGCCAGACGAGCTCCAAGAGAACCGTGCTGGTCAGAGCTGGCAAAGGACCTCCAAAACAAGGACGAGGTTATAATTCTAAAAAAGCTGCTGCAGAGGGTATCAAGAAGATCATGCGCGAACGCGAATCTGATTCTTCCTCTGATGGATGGGTCCAGGTCAGAGTTACAGTCCCATTTTGTATTAAATTTTCCCATTCTCTTCTCCTATACGAATGCCCTTAGCCTTTACACCCGTTGTGGCATATGCTTTTAGTTCCAACCTAAATAAAGATATCTCGAGGGTTGTCAGTTCTGCGTTAACAAGAACTGAATCCACAATCACCTTCAATGTCACTAGAGGCTCTCGCTGATGCGGTATTTTGTTTGAAATCTTTGGACCTTTCACCCCTGAAGTATTTGAGGGAATCATACGCCCATGCAGGTGTTGACAGAGGCGGAGCTACCTGATGGCAAGAACAAGGCTATCATCTACAACAACGCAGGGTATGTCTGGCTTTTTCACGTGATCAATTTTGCTGGTGTGCTGTAAAACGTTCAAATATGCCCTGTATAGAAAATGATTTCGAGGTGTGCTGGTATACACAAGCTTTTCAGCCTTTTCACCAAATTGATCCCTGATGTACATATTATAAGTTCTACGTATGATGTGCAGTTATGTGCTGGTGAAGAGGGATAATGAGTTATATGCTATTCAAGCCAATTGTACTTCCTGCAAATTCCCCGTAATTGAGGGCACGGTGAGACCCGCACGTTCTTTTTCTCATCAAGAATTATGGTTTTCAGATGTGAAGCTTTACAATGTTTGGACACATCTAGGTTTAAATGTGGTATTCGTCCAGAACAGCTCGCCGAGGTTCACACCTCTTGTGACCACTTAATGATCATGTGTTCTTTTCCCTCGATGGAAACGTGTGCAGGTTAGCGTAGCAGAGGCTGCTTCTGATGGACCTTCACAAGGTGAAACGCAGATAGAATGCCCTCTCTGTCATACCAAATTCTCCCTAGAGGATGGGAGGGTGGTGGAGTATTGCCCCAAAGATGGCCCGCTTGCGTGGGCAATAGGAACCTTGAAACAAAAAGAAGCCCCAGTTCCAGCAAAGGCATGAGCAATCCTACGTCTCATATTAATATATTTCTTCTTTATTTTCCCTGAACTCCTCACAACACAAACAGACACTCTGCAATGCTCCTCCTAATCTGAGTTTTCGCTGTTGTTTTGAGGAACCCAAATGACTTGACTGTAGCTTACAAGTAGAGAACAGCTGTACCGAGGATTCCTTAGTTTCCCTGTGTGTGGTGTTTGTAGGGACAAGAATCTCTGACAGCCTTCTGTATCTTCCATTGCAGGTGTATTCTGCCCGGATCTCGAAATCAGGTCGAGTATACGTCAAGTTCGCAGCAGGAAGTCCAGCTATTCCTTGATAAGGGGCAGAACTGGGTTTGAAGCTTACAAGCTGGGCGATCGTGGTCTGTAGTAATTCTTTTACAAAAAGCTGTGATATCACATCATTTTCCTGCTCTGATTCATGTAACAGAAAGTAGGCGGTTGCTGAAAGCTTGGTGTATATCATCTATACACTTAAGTTATGGAATCTGTTCTGGCTTCGCTGGTTGTATTGCGTCGTTTACTTCATTTCATATCATCCCAGGATAAAACCAATCTCCTTGGTTTGGTCTTTTCTTTTCAGAACAAAGTAGTGTTTACATATGTATTTTTAAATTAGTAATAAATCAGGAATATCTCCTAATCTCAATTGTTGAATTTGTGTCGGATTTCATTAGTCAATCTTTTTCAATTTTTTCAATATAATGTTTCTGGAAAAAAAGATCATGTGTCATTATTGGAAATTGTGGTCAAGGGATAAATATATTTAGTGCGCATGATTTTACATTGATTTTATTTTGAATATAGTAAATTATTGTGTTAGTTTATTTTTTAGTACATTCTTTAATTGCAGTTAACCTGAATTTTTGGATAGCTTAGTATCTCATGTATATTTGAACAAGTACATTACCTGTGAAAAGTAGCATTGAAAAAAAAATGTATTAATGTATTCGTGTAAATCTGCAAACTTTAACTTCCTAGCTAAGACTTTGACTGTATCCAATTTACAAAATTTACAATATACAAATTGATAATTTGTGTTATAAATGAATAGATTTGTTTATGTTATTTCATAATCAGAGGTAAGCATTCAAATCTGCCCAACAGTTACAAATTATAAGAATTTATTTAAGCATATTACAAATATATTGGAACTTATGTTTTTTTTTTCTTTCTTTTTTTTCTTTTTTTACTTCTTTTTATTTACATGACCAAAACTTCTTAAAATATTTACTCTTTATTATTAACCATTGTTGATATTTTTATTTTTAATTTTTAAAACTTAAACAAAAGAAAGTAGAAATGTAAGCTATTAACCAACTTAGTGTTAAAGAAACATATATTTGTAGTTGAATTTTTTCATCTTATTATTTTAGAATGGATATTTGTTTGAAGTCTAATGTTACATGCCAAAATTTTATTTTTGTAAAAAAATAATACAAATTTTTATATGTAATTTTTAAAATACATATAAGATTGGATGTTTTAATTCTAATAATAGCATCATAAAATACATATAATGATTTGGTATTCAAAATATAGAGCATGTAAATATTTATCTTACCAAGTATTTTTATCTTTATAAAAATTTGTAATAAATGTAATAATTCTTTTTTCTACTATAGATGATTTTTATTAGTGATTTTATTGTAAAGATTAAGTGACCAATTTTATAGTTTGTATACTATTTTTGTATTCCATGTGTTATAGATGCAATAACATTGATTTGTAAGAATTTTTTTAAAAATTAAACATTCCTAGAGAAACCTAAAAAATTTCATAGTTCTATCAAAATCTTATGTAGAACTCTTAATGGCCATCTAGAAATTTTTTTAGTCTTCTAAAAGCTTTAAAGTTTTCTTAATAGAATTCTAAAACAAAAAATAAAAAATTATTGCAACTAGCTATTGTAGAAGAAACATGAAGGGGATGATGTCATGCTCCTACCATGACTAGGTTCAATGTTGCAATGCAATATAATCTTTACTAATGTCCTGTGAGTTGCAATATAAAAGATTTTATTATAAAGGAACATCAACAAAAGTAGATTCAATTTTGAGGTGGGAGCTTAAATCCCTTCACTTATTGTCTACCTTTGGATTCGTTTTTTTCTTTAATATATATATATATATATATATATTTAAGTTCTAGATGGAAGTTCATAATGGAGCTTGAAGATTTAGAAGTATTGTCAAAGAGAGCTCGATTAGTAGGTCAAAGCAATACTTATTTGAAATATGTCAATCAAAGCTAATTCATACCACAATAATAAGATCCAAGCAAAGTTATGAAGTGTCAAAAACTTCATTATACATCATTAAGCATAGGTCCTTACTACAACTATACGATAATCTTCCTTTAATAATCATTGTTGTATCATATTGTTGAAGCCTCAAGACTTAGCCATCCCCTCAAGAGTTGTATTACACTAGCTTGTTTGTCTTTCTTTGCAAAATGAAAAACCATTGGTATTGTCAAATCCACATGCAATTGTGTGGTGTACATAGAGATTATTTAACCTCCAAGTACTCCAAACTAATTTCTAATTTATTGTGACATAAGCCTAGTTTATGCTTCACAAGCACACCTAGGCATTTTCAAGGGCAAAATCCAATGGCTCTTCTTGGATATCCAAAAGCAAAAGCTACTCATCTAAAACTCAAAATTTTCTTCACCATAATGTATGTATTTCTAGACTGATGCCTTGCTCAAATACATACAATGATATTAATATGTACATGATAATGATATTATTGTGCGAATGCAGAGTGCATGGTGAGGGGTGTCTATGTAGAAAAAGACAATATTTGCCTATTAGATTCTTAAATTTATTATACTAAATTTATCTTTAATTTTTCAAAGAAATAATTTATTTATAAAAAAAAGTATTTAAAGCTAATTTTAAGTTCTTTTTTATATTTTGTAAACTATCTTAAGTATGGATTATATAATTTCCAAAATTTATACCTTAATAGCAATAACTATTTTCAAATATAAAATCTAAAGTAAAAATATACTATTAAAAAAGCTAATGGTTTTGAATGGCATAAGTATTAGGATACTTTATTTTCAAACTCCTACAAAGTATTAAAGAAAACTAATTGGTACTTTAATTTAATTATAAAAGGTATTCTTTTTATTAAAAAAATATATATGAATATTAAAATTATATATATATATATATATATATATATATATATATATATATTTCTTGTCTTATAATGTTAATATACAATATAACCTTTAGTTGCAAATTTTATAAAAAATAATATTTATAGCTATATGTATAGTCAAGTACCAATTTTTTAAATGTTGTACAATAATCAATAAATCTTTAGTCTCTCTACCATATTAATTATGAAGTTCACCATATTATATTTTTTAATATAAATTTATTAATCAAGTCAGATTATAAGATTTATTTATTATTTTTATTGCAAGTTTTGTTTTCATTTGTGATAATACAAAACCCAAAGCAAAGTCCGATACATCTATATTAAGTATCATTATACCCTTGGAGCCCCCATCTCCTTTAGGACCTCTTTCACTTTTTTTGTTGTTATTCCTCAATAACTTGTTATGATTTCTTACTTCCAAAAATAAAATAAAAAAATTAAAGAAATAAAAAATAAGTATTCTAATTAAGATATATAAAAACTATCTATTTTAAGAATAAAATGTATAATGAAAAACAAATGCATATATAATCACTTTGTTTTATTTGCAATATATAATAGATATGGATATTTTAATACCTCCCTCCAAATTTGTTAAGCTGTTGCTCTTGGAAATACAACTAGAAACTTATTTCCAAGTTTCCAAAGTTCAAGGTAGAACTTCCACTCTCCTAGTTAAAAAGAATCTTAAAAAGCACCAAAATATATAAAAATGAGAATACCAAAATATCTATGCCTTATATAATTTGATATTATAAAACTTCAAATACATTTTTAAATGATATACATATATAATCTAAATATCAATCTATGTTATAATTCTCTCTCTCTTTCTCTTACACACACACATTTATATATATATATATATATATATGAGAACGATAAAGTGACACAAATTTTTACTAAAGCAACCCACTCTATCTTAAACATCATTATACCCTTGAAGCCCCATCCCTGTTTTCAATCATTCCCCATTCTCAACTATTATTAAGAACAGGGTACGGGAGCTAGGAACAGGGGCAATGGTTGAAAGAGGAATGGCTAGGAACAGAGCAAGTGGGTTGATTTAGTAAAAATTTGAGTCACTTTATCATTTCCCCGTTATATAATGGAGAAAGAGAGAGGCTCGATAACGAATGAATGGAGAACGGTCCAAAGAGATGTTGGAATGTAATGAACGAGGCGAGGAAGGGCTTTGGCCTTAAACCCTAAACCCCAAGGGAAGGGAAAGGAAAGGACCTGCCTTCGCTTCTGCTTTGCTTCTGTTCTGGATTGCTTCCCTTCCTTGCTTCTGTTCTGGATTGCTTCCCTTCCTTGCTTCCTTCCAACTATGGCGCCCAAGCGTCGACCTTCTGCGCGCTCCTCTCGCAACGCGCCCCCTCCTGCTACCTCCGCCGAGTCCCTGCTCGCAGGTTATAGCTGCCACTCCAATCCCCTCCTTTGCATCGCGTGGTTTGGTGCTCTGTCGCAATTTCTGTGAAGTATTCACTCTCGCCCGTCGCCACATTTTGTTTCTGTCTATCTTCAAGGGAAGGGCCGAGTCTGGATCGGTAATAGTGTTGATGGGTGTGGTGGCTTCTGGTGCCGTGTGATTTTGTGTATTTTAATTTTTTTTCTGCTTGCCGAATGAACCTGAGCAAACTTTCTTTCATATCTCAGCCTGATTCTTCATCAACCAGCAGAATCAACCAGTGTATGCAATGGATCTTATTTTTTTGCATTGAGTGGGTTTCACTTTATTATCCGCTCTTTTGCTCCTTGTCAAAGGTACAGGGTTAATTGTGCATGTTTTCACACGGTTGCACTATTTCGGTTGCGATGCGCGCTGGGCACTTGTTCTGCTTAATCGGTTTATTGGACACATGATCTACAATTACTTGGGTGTCGTAGCTTGTTGGGAGATAGTTCATTTACCCTGCATCTCTGAGGTTTGCAGAAGCAAGGAGGGTGAAGCAGGCAGCCGAAAGGAAATTGGATGGAGCTGCAAAAGTTGGGTCATTGGAGCAGGCTGTGCTCTTGTTTCAAAATGCCTTGTCAATGCGCCTGTCCCTGCCAGTGCAAGAAGAGGCCCTTTTTGATCTTGTAAGAGTGATTGCAACGCACTGTAGTGTTGATGCAATAGTCAACATTCATGTTCTGATCAGGGGATATGTGAGGTTGGAAACTCTGATGAATTTCGAAGGCATGTCTGTGGTTTGGGATTGCGCAAGTTTTTCTTTTTCTCTTTCTTTTTTTTGTTCGTTTGAATCTTTGGTCGATTAGGTCGGGTACGGTACTGTTATCACTTTTGGAGTTTATCATAACTTTACGGATGTTGCTTTTCGCTGCCAGGGGGAAACCTTTCTAGAAATGGCAGGTGCTTTGCAAACCAGAGGGTTGCATTTGGCAGGCAGTCCATTTCGGAATGAAAAGAAGAAGGCTCAAGCTTTAGAAATTCAGAGCCAAGCCTCTGTGGACGCTTCTAGTGCCACCAGGTGCGATGCATATCATATCCATATCTTATTGAAAACTTATTTTCCTTTTGGTTGCAGATGGAAGTGCTGTAGAACTGATCATAGCAAGCGATTATTCTTTGATGGGTTAATAATTATTATTAGACCTCTATTGGAAAGCAATTATCCTCCCGAACTTCTTTATTCAAGGCATCAGAATGATATGAACGGTCCTTCTGGTTGATGTTTCTCATTGAAAGACCTATTGATTGTGCAGGCAGAGCTTCGAAATGTATGAGAGAGTGTGTGCTCTTGAAGGTGCGGGAGAGCTGAAGCAGGAAGCTCTTGTGAACTCAGGGAATGCCTTGTGTGAGTGGGCGTCACTTGCTACAAGTACTCCTGAGAATAAAGGAGGTGGCTCTGTTATTGCTGCGGAGCTTTACAAACAGGCTGATGAGAGGTAAGGCACCTATGGGTTCACTTAAAGGGATTTTTGTCGCTTGATTTAATAGCTTGATGACTTGTTATAATTTCGGTCTACGCGGGGTGTCCTTATGAAACATGTGATGAAAATGTGATATTGATTTGATGAGCAAGCAATATTTCGTTTGGGGTTTTCTTCGGCCATGAGGCTGTGGAGACAATGCTGCAATGTGAAGTTGTAACTTACGGTGGTGTCAGTAAACTAAGAATTTGACCAGAAGTTTGCACTAGTTTGTTAAGGTTGAACATATAGACGTTTTGTTTGTTGAACAGAATATTTCGTTAGTTTTTTGCCTGAATGCTCACCAGTAATTATGACTGCTGTTCATTCTCTCCAAAAATTGTCCGTGCAAGTAGCATGACTGTACTCAGTAGACACTTCATACCAATGTAATGTCTGATGCAAAAGTTTGAAATGCAGAGCAGATATTCACGGGCCTTGGCTGTTACACCTGAGGATGTCGAACTTCTTACAAACATTGGGGACTGCTGTGTCCAACGCGCAGAGCTTTTCCATTCTGCGTTCCAAGTAAGCGGGGTTTCAAATGTGTCGCTACAAGCATGGGCACCCGTGAAGGAAATCTATGAGCATGGGTTGCAGGTGTACAACAAGGCGTGTGCTAATGCTGATACCCGTATTGGTGACGACCTTGGAGGATTGCTGCAGAATTGGGGCGTTGGTTTATCGTCGTTTGCAGAGGTGGGAAGTTACTCTAATCTGGTGTTATGTCCATTTTTTCTCTTGGGTCCATTAAATAGTCGATTGTATTGTTCCTGAGACGAATAACATTGTTGCAGCGTACACCATGCATGGAAGATGCGAATGAGGCCTACAAGCAAGCTCATGAAAAGTTCAGGTCAGCCCTTCAATTTAAGAGAACAGATATAACTCTTTTCATCGCTCTCGGAGAATCGTTTGCTAGTCAAGCTGAGCGCATCGCTGCTGATCCTGCTATGTTGCAGCAGGTAAATCAATTCCCGCACATGAAGCAATGTCATTAGTGTATTTCCAACTATGTTTTGTTTCCATTCACAACTGTGGCAAAAAACCGGACCACCTTTTATTGAAGGGGGTGGGGGATATGTAAGGCGAAGGAAAAAACCATATAGAAGTCCCACCAACATTCCACCTGTTTACTGTCCATTGCTGCTGCGTATGATTTTTGTAGATGTTGAACAGCTATCTATTGGTGAATGGCTCGTATGCTGCAGACTCTGAAACTGCTCGAGGAAGCAGTGAACACTGGCTTTGCAGCAGCGCTCACCATAGACTCTACGAGTGTCGAGGCCCTCCTAGGCTCAGGCGACGCACACATGGCAGCAGGAAAGCTCCTTGCCAGCTCGGGGAACTTGGCCATAGCAAGCACGCATTGGAATAAAAGCTTGGAAGTATTCACGAAGGCATCCAAGCTTCTAGCAGCTGGTAACTCCTACAGTCCGTATATGTCGGTTACTCTAGGTTCTCTTCACCAAGCTCTGCTGGATTTGTTTACACTTGTCCCACCTTTTCGTGCCTCATTGAAGCATTTCCTGTCCATTCGACTAACTGATGTCATGTGGGTGTGTCAGACGTGGAGTGTAAGTACAAGCTGAGTTATGAGGAGCAATGTGATGTCCTCTACAATCTCGCATGCGTAGCTGCACTGCATGGACAAGAGGCGGACGCTGCCAACGCCTTGAATCAGCTTGCATTGACCGAAGCCATCTCAGCCTACGATTTAGTCCAGGATGCCGATCTGGAGACTTTGCGCTCCAAAGAGTGGTTCGGCTCACTGTTGCAGAATAAAAGCACTGGCAGTAATATGAAGGAATAAGTCTCTTTTTCTTTTCTTTTTTTTTTATTAAATCCATTGGTATGTACAATGCAGTTTCCGTGTGACTGTAAGGCCTGTCACTCGATGTGTCACTTCCGTGCAACACCACTCTAAAGCATACATTATTCTGAAAACACTGAAGTCTTGTGTGGGAGACTAATTGTGGTGCGCACCGTATTTTTCTTGTCAGCAGTCAATATGACGGTGTTGAACTTTGCTTTATCGTCACTTGTTCGAACGTCACTCTTAGCTTCGATTCAAAGTGACGAACTGTCGGGTGTCAGGTAAGCACGCACGTCAAGACAGTTTCTTTATGTATATTTTATATTCATTAACAAGTTTATTGAGCAAGAGAAAAAGTTTTTGATCTGCATGAAGGTGACTGCTGCAGTTGTGGTTTGGCCATTGTTGGATGTGAAAGTGTTCAACTTGTACATAGAGGTTGACAGTATATGTTACTTTGATTGTACTGGTAGAAGCATGTATAGTGTAGATTACATGCGGCACAAGTTGTAATAGTTGTGATACATTCCATATGCCGATCCCGGTACAAGGACAGTATTTTGTAAAACATGTATAAAAAGCGAGATAAGAAAAATTACTGCTGATGTACAATCTTCAGAAGAAAATGACAAATGTCAGAACAGCAAATGCATTTAGCTGGTTTCCTGAATGCTTAGCTAAACTTTGGTAAGTAAAAGCTGTTCTACTGTTCTTCCAAGGCGATAAAAATATGCAAAAGAAGTGTACACTTTGTGCAACTGTGGAGAACTTCCTTGGAAAAAAGAAAAAGGAAAAAAGTAAAAAATGCGTCGCTAATTAATTACATTCCCTTCAGTAAACTATCCATTCAAAATCTACAGGGCTGGAAAAGTTCAAGCCGCTCAAATAGTGTACGATTCTCTGAAACGATGGCCGCAAAAAGAGAAAAAAATAAATTGAAGGTAGAATCAGTGGTTCCCTACGAATATCTTCATGCTTGCTAGTGAGAGGTACATTGTCTTTGGTCAGCAATCAAAGATCTCAAACTTGCTTCTACATCCTCAGCATTCACATGCGTCATGTGTCTGCTGTCCTCAGCATCGTTCCCCTCAATCTCTGAACTAATGCCATCGAATACAAGCTGATCCACGCATGCTATGCTGGCTTGTTCAACGTTCAATCCTCTCGACTCCAGTAGCTCCATTATCTCAACCAACAGACCGGGTCTCTTGTCACACTCGATGTGAATTTTTAATCCTTCTTCCGTTCTCACTATTTCCACCTGATGCAGCCAATCACAGGTCAGCTTTTGAAGGGTAAGAAACATAACTTGTAAATGGATCCCAACATAGAAATATGGAATACCGAAAAGCGCAGAAGCTTACCGTTGGTTGCGAGCATCCACAGTCACTCCCTGAGCTTGATTCTAAGCCAGCATTGGACTCTGCCGTCCTCTCTGTGGATGACGGGCTCAAGTTGTGTTCACAACAGCTACAATCGTCTTCACAGTGACACAAGTCGTCGCCAAGATAAGATTCCATGTCAAGCTCATAGTTCAGCTCTTCTACTTGCCTTTGCAATTTCTCAATATACTCGTAAGCATCTGCCAAGATTGATGACTTCTCTCCCTGTTTGAATCAGAAGCAAAGTTCACGGTTATTCACACATACTCAGTACTTGTGACCATGTCCTTACCCTCAGGGTTGAGATACGATAGCACCGATCCACGCACACACGCACACACACAAATGACAAAAACAAAACGGAACACGACACAACATAACATAGCAAACTATTCAAATTGACAAATACTCACGGAGCAGGAACTTGGAATAACAGCTCCCAGTAGCTCAAGCTGCTCGTGAATCCTACCCCGCAACCTCCGCTCTGGCACTACTTCACTTTCAAGGAAAACACCATATGTCCGCTTACAGGAGCGAGGCAGAATCGGCTGAAATCCCCTGGGAGTGCAAGCGTACTCCTCGTCATTCTCGGTGTCCGTCAAGTCCGACGAGTAATCCTGGTTGGTGTAGTTAAAATAATCGACGGCATCGTTGAACTCCAAAGGAAGTCCCGTGCTCAGTGCCATTCGGGCCACCAGCAACCTTACCAATTCCCTCCGCCAACTCCTTAACCACCGAAACTCAACAAAACTTCTCGGGGACAACGCAACAATCACCCCCCTCTACAGCAATGCAATCTGTGCAACCGCCAATTCTCTCACACACCTCCCACGGTTCTCAACCACCGAATTGAACTCCCTGCCGATCAACCAAATCATCCTAGTGCAACTTTTTCCTCCTCAATACCGCCGATCCATCGCAATCCAACCAATTCTCTCCACACTGCCCGGCTCTCAACCCTTTGCTCTCCTCCCTCAATATTTTCTTTTGAGAAAAAAATAAAATAAAAAAGAGAGGTAAAATTAAACACCAAGGGCACGTCCCGAGGACTACTCAGTGCACTGTGAGGCTACCGATAGCCCGACGAGAACAAAGAACAGGGAACAAGAAACCCGTCGACAACAGAGTTGGTTTAACAGGACTCGGTCGCGGCTGTTCGCGCTTATTCTTCTTCGATGCAAAAAGGCAAGAAAGACGAAGCGTGCATGAACCTGAATGCAACACCAGAGGGAAGGAAGACCAGGGGAGGAGGCAGGGGAGGGGAGGCGAGGCGAGGGGTAAACGAATGCCATCGCGGGGCTATCTAAGGCAAGATTTGGGGCAGCATCCCATCCGTCTGGCGTCCGGCAGCTTGAAGCACGGAAGTCACACCAGCATGCGCTCCTCGCCTCGTCTCACCTTTCTATTATTACCCCTGCTCCGCCACCATGGCGTAGATTCCAGTTCGTTGCGCCTACCCAAGGCCAACACCTACAGTGTCCTCCTCCCTCCTCGTCCTGCTCTCACACTCACTCACTCACTCCCTCCCTCCCTCACCCCCTCTTCTCTCCCTCGCCCTCCTCCGCGCTTCCCCGTTTGGCTCTGTCGCGGAACTCCGTCCGTCTCGTCCTCACCAACATGCCTTCCTCTTCCTCCTCCGCCTAGTCGTGTTTGTTGGTTGGTCAGCTCCCCCGTGCAGTTCACGTCGTTTTTTCATTGTGGAAACCATGCACCACCCCCCGCATTACTTTCCTTCCCCGAGCCTCCCCCCTCCTAAAGTTACTTTCCCCTGTGCTCTACCTCCTTTTCCTGTAAACTTTTACTTTGATCTTGGGGTCGTGACGGTCCATTGACGTCATAGGATAAGTGATACTTTCGCTTCTCTAACCTTTTTGGTTTATTTATTATTATTGTTTTAAATATTATTACTTATGCACCATTGTTGCCATATTTTAATGCTGATCTTCATCCCCTCTTTTTTGCGTTGAAACCAAGTTTAATATCAATTAAAATACAATAAAGAATAGATAAAGAAGTGGCATTGCTATTTTCTCTGTCACTTATGTCACATCTGTCAAGTTTCTCCAAAACTAATTCCTTGCATGTGTGGTACTTTTAACTGAAAAAGTGAAAAAATAATAATCAATAAAAAAAATCCAACTAACAACAATAAAATTCATTGTTCAGTATAGAAATCACATCAGTAGAAACCATATTTAGTAGATATTCAAATACTTGAAGTGGTAGAAAACCATACTCCTCAATAACATGCATAACATATTGGTCTTTGAGCTACACATTACAATTTGAATTTTCACCTTGTCAACCAAGACCATTCAAGCAACAGTTCACATAAACGAAGCGACATTAAAGAGGTCCTCGTTCAAACCACATGCAGGTCCAGTGCAGCAGGCTCACTTGTCTCCGAACACACATACGTAGAAGATTCCCTGGTATGTAAAATACGATACATTTACGTATGATGGTACACGTTGGAATGCAGACCGTTGAGCGTACAAAGGTCCACTTTATGAATTAAGTAATGCCGCAGCCCCCGTGAAAAGGCCTGGCGCCACCTGCAATGATGCCTAGTCAGGTCTACTGTGGAGCTAACAGCTTTCTATTGGTCCTTGCTATTCACTACTTACCCCAATGGTCTTGAAGAAACAAACTCTACGTCCACCTCTTTTTAGAATATATATTACGTTTCTGGATTGCATATTTGTAGTGGCACGAGCCACTGAGCTTCTTCCAAGTTTGGGTCACCGTGGTGGGGGGAAAAGACAAACCCACACGCGTGGGAGCATCAATCCCGTGGGAGCCATAAAGGAAACATTCCCATGGCTGTGATTGAGAGAAGACGATGCATGCACATCAGATCCCCTGTCTGGAACATGATTCATCTGCCGCCTCTCACATAGCGGGAGAGTGCCACTTCATCCTAACTTTGTGCTGACCTGGCTTGGCCTGGCTGGTCCTTCCCCCTTTGCTACCTCCGACGCTTCATGCTGACTCAGGCAGGGTAGGATTACTGCCACCCCACCAGTGCGGAAACCATGCTGCCAGCATGGCTTATGTCAGCAATTCCCGGCTGCTACACCCGCTTTCACCTCCCTTTCGAAAAGAAAAGATGGGAAGGCGGAGAAAGAAATTTCTTTAAAGGGGTGGAGGGAAAGAGGTTGCAAATTTCCCTTGTTGGGAAATTTCTGTAAAGAGGAAGAGGTTGCAAACCGTGTACACGAGAATTCCCATAACACATACATTTGTTTTTGAAAAGTTGTGAAAAGAGACATGCTTACACATGTTTGATAACTTTGTCAGATTACAGTGAAAATACTGGAGTATTGTACAACGTATTTAGGAGTGTCTATGTCCGCTCATGAATTTTATTTGAATGGAATCAATCAAGCTGACTCACCTTCTGTTCATATATGTTTTTTTCTTTTTCTTTTCTTTTGTATGCATTGTTGCAAAACACATATATATATATATATATATATATATATAATTTGATTTCCAATTTGAAATGTTGTGTGTACACATGGCAAAGTATAAAATTTAAGACGAGTACATGAACATTAAAAAGAAAATCAGGAAAAAATAAAGCATATGTGAAACCACAATTTTCGCAGAGAAGTTTTAGAACTTAACTGTCAAAATAACGTTCATAGCTATCATTTTCATGCAAACATTTCAAAAAAAATCCTGAAAAAAACACACACACACACACACACACACAAACAACAATGATACTTTTGTGTTTCATGTGTGACCAATGAGAAAACACCAGACCTTAAAATCAAGGACTTCACATTGCACTGACCTGGTCCAGATTGGCCATCCATGAATATTCCATCTATGGGCTGCCTACACAAACATGATAAAGTTTATTTATTTTTATTTATATTTGCTTTGGGTTTGCTATTCTAATGTTTTCTTTTTTCTTTTTTCTTCACATACATGGAAATCAGCCTTTGAATCAAAACCATCGTCCTCATCATCATCACCGTCTTCTTCTTCTTCTTCTTCTCAACAGTTCAATACGTTGTTAATGAGCATGGCGAAAAAGTTCAAGGGGGAGGAAAAAAGCTTGTATGAAGTGATCGATCTCCTTGCAGCCAATCCTTGTGGCCACCATGAAGAATCGAACCCGTAGCTGATTATTCGGTACCAGCCCTGGAATCTGTCGTTTGAGGTTCTAAACGATAGGAAGGGACGAAGTGGTACTTAGTAGGGCTGACTTGGCCATGTGTCTGTCAATTTGGCCCTGTAGGGTTCCCTTCACCTCCCTCCATGAGGACGGGCCGGGTCGGGTTGGGTCCCACGCTCTTCCCGTCCCTCCGCAACTCATGTTCAGTGCGGAGGAGACTCTGTTGCCAATGTGACCTGCATGGGAAGCCTGCCTCTCTGGCACTTGCTGCCCACATGGCACCTCTGCCATGTCATCCTCCCCCCGGGGTCCATTTCGTGCGAGCTGGACAAAAGCGAGGCGGTGTCCATCTACGTGTGAGAACTAGGCTTGTCTTTTTCTGAGTTTCTTATTATTTCTTTTTCTTTTTTGCATAGGGCTCTCTTCTGGAGTTAATTAATCAATTTTTTTTCGTAATTTAAGACACATACCCTCATAATCATCAAAAAAAAAAACAACCCCTTCTTGTCACACCTTGGGTTAATCCACCGTGTAAATAAATCCTATTAATATATCAAGGGACATTATAACTGTATGAAAGTCCCTTGATATATTTTCAGAGCTCATTCAATGTTATAATGTTATGATGTTAGATATTAATGTTTGAACTATACATACATGAGCCTGGAATTAACATTTGGATTTTTATTGAAAGAAGAGAAAGGGAAAAGTTAAAGAAAAGGAAAGGAAAGGAAGGAAAAGAAAAAAATTTCTTCAAAGTATACAATCATCCAGTTGAGATATTGAACTTTGTTTACTTCCAAGGTGATGTGTGCTGGTGTACTCAGGATCAGTAAAGACTTGGTCAGTGAGGACCACCATCTCCAACAATTTTTAATACTGAAGGTGCTCTCTAACATGACAGGGGCGTCGGTTCCAGCATGAAACTCAGCCCCCCTACAGGTGAATAGTACATGGGGTCAGTCAGAGGGGGAGACACTTTCCAAAAATAGGTGAACAGTTCTAACAGATCAGACGTGTCATGTTCCACATGGAACATGAGCCCCCCACCCACCCAATCCCACTGTTTCTGTACCAAAGAAGCTCTTTTTTTTGTACTACCCATTTCAGCAGTCTTTTGAAGAAGCCTCACACTGTCCATAAAATTTTCCTCACTTCCCTTGTTGCAATGAAGTGGTTTTCTGTAGTTTGCAGCTGTTTGAAACTACAATATCATTACAATCAAAGGAGAAATTTGTGTTGTGTTGTTTTGTAATTTTTGATTTCTTCATTTTACATTATTACAAATATTCATGAATTTATTGTACATAATGGTTGTAAAATACATGTAAATTGAATAAGTAGAGCAATATTAATTTTGATCCCAAGAACTTATCTTATTTGAAAATTTCAAGAACTTTAGAAAGCAAGCCTGTATAAATTATTATTGTTATTGTAATTTGCTCCTTCAGATAAAATCAACCCCTCGTTTAATATCTTATCTCTCATTTTGAAATAGCGGTGTGCATATACATACATACATACATACATACATACATACATATTTTTGCATGAACACCAAAATGAATTATGAATGACATGTTTTTTAAAAATAAGAAATAAAAATCCTGTGAATTTAATAACTCGAAAGTACATATGCACAAGTAATGATTTAAGTTTAACTTGCATGTTTGAAGAGGTCAAATGATAAAATATACTCTAACATGTGATTTTTCAACTTTTTAAATTTTACTTTTACTCATATACTGTAAGTAGTATTATTGCAGAATAACCAGGAGACAATTAATCACTCTACTCAACACAAATATCCCAAGTTTTTTTTTAAAAAAAAAGAATATATGTAAATATAAATATTGCACTGTGTTACTGATTGAGATTTGCACGTGCCTTAAAAATACAACATTACAATTTTATGAGGTCATGTATATATATATATATATATATATATACATATATACACAAATCCTCATGCACCTTACACATATATGACCTCATACACCTGCACACATAATGCATGTGAAGCTCATTGCAAACCTTCAATAACTTTTGTCTGTTGCCTTGGAGTCTTCCCTTTTGTACATTCGCTAACCGTCATTGGCTTTTTGTACTTTTACTTGGAATCCAATGAAGTGATAAGAATATACAACATGAAAGTCAATTACTCTAGACAAGTTACCCTGAAACATGTCTTTCCAGGAACTCATATTCGATATCAGAGCCATGGTTTTCGACACGAAATGAGAATAAAAAGGACCGTCTTTCGCAATAGAAAATGGCTTAGTTTGAGAATAGGAAAACAAAAGGCATGAAAAAAGAAAAAAAAAGGAAAGTATCCCCGATACATGTCATCGAAGCTTGCAACCATCCGTGGGATGCACCGTAACGCATGCAGCGGCGCCGAAA